TCCTCGAAGGCGAGTTGCGACTCAGCGAGTGAGATAATGTAGGCTTGGATTTCGGGTGGCAACCAATCCCAGTAACTCTATGAAAAGAAGGTGATGAACAAGGCGTGACAAGGGTGTCGTACGAATCTGTAACCACAAAACACGATGAAACAAAAATCTCAAGTCCAAACGAATGTCAATTTCTAGTGGAGGTGTGACCAGACTCAGTCCAAAATGGCCACGAGCGCACTTAGCATGCACAACGAGTGACAGAGTGGGCAGTACAACTTCTCAGCCATCACACCCTTGTTCAATTGATCATCGAGTGCCTGGGTGAAGCAATCCTAATGAAGAAAGTAACGGCAACACTTGGTTCGAGCGGGAATCTCAGTACTAAGGATGACTTTTACGCATAGGGTGCACGTTAAACTGTCCATTTTTTTTTTTAGATACTCACTGCTTCGTATAGGTCCATATGGCGATTCATCTCAGCGTCGGTCAGCTCAGCCATGATCAGCGCTCGTGGCAAGTGAACGATTTTTGTAGGGCGCTCCTTTTATTATACGTGGGCGTCAGCGGCTCGCGTGGCCGATTTGGGGGTAGATCTCGCGCGCGCGCCACGGTCAGGTTGATTTGGGGGTGACGTGGGCGTCAGCGACGCGCGTGCACTAAAAAAAAAAGGGATGATGTGGCCGATTTGTGGGATATGGGCGTCAGCGGCTCGCGTAAACATGTGGTTAGGGACTCCATATAGTTTTACGATCGCGCGCGCGCTGGGGACGACAGAAAAACGTCAGTGTTTTTCGATATTTTATGACGTCAACATGAGCATAACTGAGAGTGGTTTTTTCTCGCGTTTCCTTCGGTCAGACTCCATAAAAACTTGACAGATTGGTAGTAAATATTTTACAAACCCTTTTTTTGCGTATTTAAAATTCGTATCCCACCATATTCAGTGTTACGTAAAACTGTCACTGAAGAAAATCACAAATAAAGCCATAAAAAACACTTGTGTGCGCAACGTCATTACAAGAATGATTTTACATGATTCACCCGTCGTAACGCATTTTCCAGTTTGTCCATCCCTAACAACACATGACGCTTTCGTCCTTCGTAGTCTTGATAATATCCACTAATAGGCCCTTTGCAGCTAGGGTCACGTGACCAAATTTTTCCTAAAAAATTTTGGATTATGGGCTATAACTAAGAGAATGCCAGAAATGGAAAGAGCGCATCGAAAATACCAAAATGGCCAAGTTTGAGGCCCCTGGCATTAAA